TCAAACCAAATCATCATAAATGGTAGGCATTCTCCATTTTACTGACAACTTTTGTAGCTTATATCATCTTTAGACATCATTATCTTTGACCAATATCAATTCATCGATAGCATTCATCATCCAGAAATTGGGTTGGAAAGTTCTTCTACTGCTTGGTATTTTATTAGTATAGTAACTCCTCTGGGTATCCAGTAATTATTATCATGGAGGAAGTCCTCCATGTTATTATACAGTAGTTGGTCATTATTAATATTATAAGATTAAATTTAAAGGTGAGTTACTATTGTAGCATTGGTCACAAGTACATGGTTCTAGTTCATTTCAATAAAATTAATTGTTATTTACATAGATTAGCAAGTTAGAAGATCACTATCTGCTCTCACACCAGGAGGTGAGCAAAAGGTCAAATAAAGTCAGCGATGGAAAGCACATGCTTTTGGCTCAAGAACCTCAAGTAAGTATGTAGTATCATAACCGTCATAGCATTTTATAGAAAAACCTCAGTGGTGAATCCAGGAATTTTTAGAGGGGTCCAGGATGGGACTTTTACAGGTGGAGAGTCTAGACCACCTCAGCCCCGCCATGGTTGGCTGAAGTCAAAAAATTGATGATTATAACACCTAGATGGCTGGAAATGGTACTTTTGGGCCTAGATTGGATTACAATTTTTGTCTTTTCTTCATTCCCTTCTGTGCAGAATGTACATTATAGTACAGAATGTACATTACAGTATTTATCACGCCATTAGGCAGTTTTCGCCGCACGACGTTAACCTTTACGTTAACAGATGACGTCATAATTTATTCATCTTGCGTTTCGGAGTACGTTAATTTCAGGATTTTACGTGCTCGACGTACGTTAGTTACAGGTTTGCGCATGCGTATTTCAATTTGTTTACAAAAGGGGCAGAGCTATCGCGCTGCATGTAGGGTACTAATGTTAAAGTTAAGAGGTTAACGTCGTGCGGCGAAAACTACCTATTATATATGCTTGTATTCATAAGTCGTAATTGTCCATAACCATGTTTTGTGTAATATAGAATATGAGGAGTTTATTTTCCTACGATGCTAGAGTTGACCTATGTTTCATTTTAAAAACTGGAAGATGCTGAATGGAGATACAATACAGCAAGAAAAAACAGATGGAAAATTTCATTCAATTACTTGCTTACTATTTTATTGTTTACCATGTCTGGACTTCGGATACGATAGTTCTTTTACAATTCTTGTATTCAAAGAGAGCCTACTAGAATAATGAAAGATTTGTAATATATTGTATTTTTATCTCTTAGGTAATATTCTTTGAGCAGCAAAAGATTTTGTATCGGTCGAACCATGATATAAATGTAAAGAATTTCATTATGTCTGAAGAATGGTATCCGGTAAGTTTGAACATTTTCAACAGAATCATTTACATAAACTGGAATTCTAATGTATTTATCTGTTTTTTCTACTACTTTTCATATAGCAGGTTAACTTGATTTCATTTAGGGTATTTTAAAATTTTAATCTTAATTTTTAAATTTATAGACACCTGGTCATCATGTTTATGAAGCCTGGAAAAATGGTTTTACCGGAAAAGGTGTTGTTCTGTCTGTCCTGGATGATGGCATCGAATGGACTCATCCTGATCTAAAGGATAACTATGTAAGATTACAAAGAACAAGTAAAGGGGGTGTGGCTGCAGTTAAAAAATCTGTTTTATAACAAAATTACTAGTTTAAAAAAAAACTAAAAAAAAAAACTATTGAGGAATATTTCTCTTCCCAGTCACTTCACTTCCTATGCAAGATTACAGATCTCTGTCTAATTAAAGATCCCTCCAATTAAAGACCACTTTCTGTGGTCCCAAATTAACAAATGTCTTTTACCTTTGTTTACCTGTATTCTAATTAGAGACCAAAGCTGCTAAAGACCATAAAAAACCACCGCTCCCAGAAGTGGTCAGCCTTTAATTAGAGGGAGACCTGTATTAACTATTTACTGTTTGGTCTCACAATCGAAATACTGTAGGTGCATGCCTGCTATTAGCATCCTAGTGTGTAAAATATTGTCAAAGTCAATTTGTAGTTTGAACTGCACATTCGCTTATCCAGTGATGTTCAAGGTCAATCGACATAAAGTAAAGTTTATATTAATTCTGTTTGTAAATTCTTGTTTGGGGACTAATATGCCTTATTAAAATTAAATAATTTTTGTTGATTTTCTTTGCAGGAGCCAATGGCAAGTTATGATTACAATGATAATGATCCAAATCCAATTCCAAGATATGATTCTTTAAATAAAAATAAGTAAGTTTATTGCTAATAATATTAAATACTTTAATTGCATTTGTTCTAATACATTATTATTGATGTTACTGGTTTTCTTGTTACTTATCATTATTATATTTTTCATTGTTAGCCATGGTACAAGGTGTGCTGGAGTTGTGTCTATGGGTAATAACACCATATGTGGTATCGGAGTTGCGTATGAAGCCAAGATTGGTGGTAGGTCTCTAATTATAAGTTATTCTTAGTAAAGTGAATGTAGCAGCCAGGTTGTGACAAGAAAACCTAACGCTTCTCAGTGTTGCATATTTACTTACTCATCCATCCATTAATTCATCCAGCCATCCATCCTTTCACCCATCCATCCACCCTTTCATCCATCCATCCATTCATCAAATCAGTCATTCCAACAATGTTTGTAAAGTTGTCTGGTGTAGCCTAAAAAACTTATAATTAAATAATATGATTTTGAATACTTAAATATATCCAAAGAAATCAACCTACTACTACCTGATGCATATGCATATGGAGTTACACCTTCTCTGATCTTGGTGGTTTAAATTACAGGTATCCGTATGCTTGATGGTGATGTCACAGATGCTATCGAAGCAGCTGCCCTAAGCCACAACCCACAAGTCATTGATGTATACAGTTCAAGTTGGGGACCTAAGGATGACGGTAGAACTGTTGATGGACCAGGATTGTTAGCAAAGACTGCACTTGAAAGAGCAGCGACAAAGGTATGTTTTTTTTTTCATTTGCACAAGTATGATCGGTCCAAGAGAACTGTTCATTGGGGGCTTTGGCACTTTTTTTTATCGTACTTGGTGGGTGAATGAACAGTTGATCATTTTACTCACCATTGTTCTATAACAGTCTCTCGTATCAGTGGCTTAGGGATGAAGAGCTAGCAACTTATAATTTGAGTTTATATGGTAAGTCCCTCTTTATGAGGCTTGTAAGTAAGTGAGAATCTAGTAGTTTCGGAACCTTAATGCTTTAAGACTCTTTATTAGACTTGGCGAGTGAAGATGTTTTTGGTCAATTTGAATCTTATACTGATTAGTGAAACATTTATTTTGATCAGGGTCGGGATGGCAAAGGTTCGATCCATGTCTGGGGATCAGGCAATGGAGGTCCATACAAGGATGATTGCAACTGTGATGGTTACACTAATAGCATCTACACGCTGTCTGTTACCGGGGTCTCGGAGGGTAGCAAAAAATCTTGGTATACTGAGGAATGTTCATCCATATTCGCTACAACCTACAGCAGTGGTGATGTTACACAAAGACAAGTAGTTATGGTTTTTTTTTACCTTGCACATTATTTTGGAGGTCTTCTAAGCACTTAGATATATAGTGTTGCCTCCCCATTGATTAAAAAAAATTCTATCCAAAATAACTTCCAACAAAATAATGTCCTTCCCATCAACTTTTATGAAACATAGTGTATATGAAGACTTATGATTACTCACTATAAAAATGTTGCAGGATTAGAATGTAATAAAATTGACAATTTGATTTCAACAGGTAACTACGGACTTAAGAGGAGAGTGTACAGACCGACATACAGGCACTTCTGCCTCGGCTGCAATGGCCGCCGCGATATGTGCACTAGCTCTCCAAGCCAAGTAAGTTTAATCCACAGATTCTATATTAAATTTCCAAAGTGCATTGTACATTATCATTAAACCCCTGATCATTTGGCCAACATGTTTAAGTACGCAAGCTTCTGTAGTAGCAGCCATACTCAGCGCATGAAACCCCAATCATGTACCCATTTAACTCCTGGTAGGAAAGAAGCAATACAGATAAAGTGTCTTGTCGAAGAACAAAAAATAAGTAACCAGCCTCGGATTTGAACCCTCAATTACCATTGTGCCACCTTCCTGCACCACCGTTATTCTAATTTTCAATTGAAAGCAATATTAAATATATACAATGGGTTCCTCATGGTTTGTAGTAACATTCTTTTTTTATTTTGATATACAATAAACAAGCTTTGATAACCGTTTCATGCTTGTCCTACTACCTGAATTTAACATAACAACTAGTAATAAAAAAAAAATACAATCATAATGGTATATTTTTTAACAATTCTTTCTTAAGCCCGGACCTGAGTTGGCGAGACATGCAGTATATTGTAGCTGTAACATCACGTCATGAGTCACTACAAGATGCAGACTGGAACAAAAACGGAGCTGGATACTTTGGTAAGCTAATTATTTCCTTGAATGGCCACCATGTTATCAAATATTACTGGTACCATTATCAAATTTGATGAGGAATTTCCTCATTTTCTTGTAATATGTTATTCAGGGCAGATTTTAAAAAAATTGAGAAAAAAAAGAAAATTTTAGTCTAAGAGTGGCATTTCCGGCCAACTAGTGGTGCCATAGTCATAAATTTTCTTACCTCAGTCCCAACCATGGTGGGGCTGAGGTAGTATAGACCCTTGATGGTGAAATTCCCTCACTGGGCCCCCTCTATTTCAAATTTTTGGATCCGCCACTGTTACTGAATCATTGATAAGTGGAATCAGAGAGCATTTCATTTTTATAATTTAGAACATAAACATCTACAAGAAGTCAAATTCATAATATAATAAAGATAGTAAGCTATGAAGAGATGAAATTTCATGATTTTTCTAACCCCATGGAGAACTATAAAAAAAGTATTTTGCAGTGTATGGAAAAACAGTATAAATATAATGATGATGCAGTATATGATAAAGATTTTTTTTTCATCACTATAGCTTTGGTCTGATAGATGTATTATTGGTAATTTTTTTCTGCGGTTAGCCATCAATATGAGTTTGGCTTATGTTGAACTAATATGCGGTCGGTGTTTTTTTTTTTCGACAGTCAGCAATCGATATGGGTTTGGCATGATGGATGCTAACCAGATGACACAGCTTGCTAAAGTCTGGAAACCATTACCAAAACAGAACATATGTGAAATTAAAGGGGAAATCCAAAAGGGGTAAGCAACATATCACTACTATAATTTCACTTAAAAGCCAGGCTCCAGAGGGGTAAATATTTTTTATATATTGTATGACTGATTTTTCAAAGACACAAAAATCCCAAATGATTAACTATCCACTACGTACTTATCTTTTGTGTTTAGTACATTGTCAAGTGGTCAAAGATTGAAGTTGCACCTGACTACTGACGGGCAATGTGGTAACCAGGTGAAATATCTGGAGCATGTACAGGTACGCATCACTCTCGACTACAGTGCACGTGGCAACCTTTTCATCTCATTGACCTCTCCGTCTGGAACACGCTCACGTTTACTGAGTGGTCGACCAAATGACGTGGACGCTGGTGAGTTTGATGACTGGCCCTTCATGACTACTCACAGCTGGGGAGAACTGTCTAATGGAACATGGACACTGGAGATTGATGATCCTATAGCAGACTCGCACCATTCAGGTAAGAAAAATGTTAAATAATATGCAATACAACATGGTTTGAGGTGAAGTAGTGATTGGGACCGCCTCCCTGTGCTTCACATCAGGAGGCAGTCCCAATCATCCAACACCTTGGGAAGTAGCATTCACTGCTTCACCAAAGTAAATCCATGTTGTATTTCTATTACTATAACTCATAAATATTGAACAGCAAACCTTTTCATCTACGTTGGCCAATTTGAACTGTTTGCATAATTATGCAGGTTGCTTATGGTCCACATAGGCAGGGTTCAGTAGTCTACTCGCATCTGGGTACATTTGTCACGTCCAGGCAAGTAGTAGAAACTACCACACTTCTTATCTGGTTGAATTGAACAATGTAATGTTGATACCTAATTACTATTTATGAGGTATAGTAATAATAATACAACAATAATGATGATAATAAACAGTTTCGCTAACTGCCAGTTAGTACGTTAGTATTATTGTTGCTTATTGCTACTTCCTGAAGGCCTGTTATTCTGGTGAGACCAGTGTGTGAAGTAGATTGCACCCCACCCTTCATGTAGGCTTTCCAGAGAAATCTGTTATATATGTTAAGCAATTGATGTACACCCTCAATGAATCTATATAGATGTCATTTACAATAATTGTTTTCCTTGTTGACAGGTGAACTCTATAGTTGGTATCTTGTTTTGTACGGCACCGTTGCTCCGCCAAGCTTGCGAGCATCTAACATCAATCAAGGTGTTGATGTTCTCGGCAGGAAAGTGCGTGAGGTGAAAACAGACGACAGTTTTGATGATTACTATTCCAGTTATGAATACCTGGCAAATTGTCATGAGCAGTGCTACCCACCAGCTGGATGTTCTGGGGAAAAGCCAGAAGATTGTTTCAAGTGTAAAAATTATCGTGATAGAGATACAGAGTAAGCCAACTTGTGTAGATATTTTTTTATATTGGTACTAAAGACAATATTTTTGATTTAAAATTGCTTACTTTTTTTAACAGTTTCACTGACTATTCAGCATCATTAGTACAAATGTAGCTTGGTTGGTTAATTAGACCAGGCTATAATTGAGATAGGTGCCACTTGGAGAGGTAGAAATTCTCATATGATTTTTCTAGACCAGTTTTTTTATGGGGAATCAGAATATGTGAAGTAAATGGTCTTTGTTTTGTAAATTGTTATATTTGAATGAATGCTAAATAAATAAATGAAATGAAAAGTGCAATCCACTCTTTTGGATGCCAAATCTGCAGTTCCGTATATATAGGGGAAGCAGGGAGACGCTCCTCACAAGATTCAATGAACACAAACAAGATGTACAAAACAACTCTATCACCACGGTCTGTACCATATCAGCTGGAATTTCAATGTCAACCGCTTTAAATAAATCCGCCATCACCGACCACATGAACAATCGCAATTAACTTAACACACTGAAGTGCAGTGGAAATAAAAAGAAAGAGTATACACAGAATCAGAAAGAAAAATAGAAGTATCTATATGGATATGGAAAACAAAGGCAAACATGGACCATGACGTATATTTATACAACAACCTTCTTTCAGCTCCCCATCCAAGAGATTGGGTCAGTTGTATTTCAAAAACTGGTGATGCCAGTCAACTTACATCGACTGAAGAAAGAAGTAACCAACCATGACACATTCGTTCTGATGATGCTGACTGATAGTCAGACAAAATGGAATTTCAAATTAAAAAAATATTTTTGCTTTACAATAAAATTATATATTTATATTGCAAGTAAAAGAAAAATTAACTTTTTTTTAAATTCAACTTTCCATGTAAACAAATGGCTGCTTCAGTGTGATGACATTTGTTTTCAAACCATCATTGATTGTTTTTTTGTGCATTTATGGCATATGGTTGAATAAATAATATTTAATTAATTCTTTACAGGAAGTGTGTCAAAGAATGTCCTGATGGTCAGTTTCCACCTCCTGAGAGCCACCAAAGGTGTCGATACTGCAGCAGTCATTGCAAAACATGTTATGGTCATGGGGCCAACAACTGCTTGTCCTGTAATGATGACCTTTATTTGAGAGAAGATACAGCCAGGTGTGTACCAGCTTGTGATAATGGTTTGTATGCAGGTAAGAAAAATGTTGAATCTTCTTTTCAAACAGTAAAAGCATGAATTTGGTCTCTCAACCTCAAGGTCGGGGGCTCGAACCTTTGGTGTGCGTTCTTTACCTACGTTGGTCTCTCTCTACCCAGGAGTATAAATAGGTACCCGATTGTTCACTACTTGGAAGGAAAAAATGGCCAAAAAAAGAATATTGACTTCACTTCAGTTTATTCATATTCCCCACATTATGAGCTTAAAATGATGGGAATCGACGTACTATTGCCCAAAGTTATAAGTAAAAGTATTATGGCTTTCCTGTACTAAAGTTTACAATACTGCCTTTTTTTTATGCTAATTACTCAGTTTAAGATATAGCGGCAGTACACTGGTTTTGCGATGGCTTGCCTCATTTATGATGATAATAATATTATGAATATGTGATATTTAATTGATATGAATTCCAATTACGATTTGATAGATGAAAGCAGAGTGTGTAAGGTGTGTGACTTGACGTGCTATACATGTGCCAACAGCACGACCTTCTGCACCAGCTGTCCAATTGGTCTCTACCTAAATTCACTGAACAGATGTGTGACGGAGTGTGATGATAATGAGTACCTGCATTATATCTCGGATGATGGACAATGCCTTGAGTGCGATGTCGCCTGCACTACTTGTAATGGACCAGGACCTACGCAGTGTCTGTCCTGCAAACCAGGCTATGTCAAAAAAGACGGTGTTTGTATCGAATATAGGTCTTGTCCGTCAGGCTATTATATTGATGATGATAATTGTCTCAGGTTTGTTTCATAATTTGTTAATACAGTTTGCCCTCCTTTTCGAGACCACCTTTAAAACCTGAAGGTTTGGTGTGGTCTCAGGGTTTGGTCTCCAATTAGGAGGTAACTTTGTGTTAAAAGATTGAAGATTGTTGTATGGTTCTTTGAAAAATGTGGTCTCGTATTAGAGAGGTCTCTGAATTAGAGGGGTCTTGAATTGGAGTGTGCACTGTATGTAGTAATAATTTAGTTAATCAAGGATGCACATTTTCAGAATAAGAATGTGGAAATAAACTACTTAGAATAGCACAATAGATTGTTAAATCCTTTCCCACTGCTTGGATATCAGGGTGAAGGTCCACAAAAATCCAGAACTGTATGGTGAGAGCAGCTAGCTCAGTAAGCTAAACTGTGTGTGCACTGAACTGTTGAGGTCTTTTGGTCCCATCACTGCTCCCCTTGTGTTTCAGCTGGAGGGCTGAAATGAAAGTATCAAAAGCGCACTGTTATTCAGATGAGACGTTGAAGCCATTGGTCCTGTTTGCAAAATACCCCTGTAGCCCATGTGCACGTTAAAGAACACAGCTCTTTAGAAAAGAGTAGGGGATTGCCTCCCAGTGTACTGCCAGTGGTGCATCTTGGAGTTTTGAATGTATGGGGAGGGGGGAGGCAGGTTGTGCAAAAGTGTAGTGTGGGGGATCGATGATTAGGTGGGGGGTGCTAGCTTGCAAAATAAGGTGATTTTTAACTACTTGACCACCACCCCCATGTGTACTGCCCATTTCACCACCACCCCCATGTGTACTGCCCATTTCACTACCGGTGAATCACACTGGTGAAATCCAATCCAATCTAATAGGTTTGCTTGATCGATTGATTGATTGATTGATTGATAATTGCAGGTGCCACCCAGCCTGTAGTGAGTGTATTGGTCCTGAAGATCAAGACTGTACCCAGTGCCCAGACCATTATGTACTTGTGGGCAAGCGCTGTCAACAATCTTGTGGAGATAGTAAGTGGTCACTGTTAGCCTCAACATGCTTTGAATCATCATCTTCATCATCATTACAATCAAAATCATCATCAGCATCTTCATTTCGTTTGTCATCATCACTCCTGACATCAATATCACTATCATCATCATTCTCACCACCACCACCATTATTATCATCATCAGCTTTGTTTTTTTTTTGTTATAATCAGTGCTATCATAATCATTGTCAGTTGAGTCATTATCATTATCACCAGCATTAGGCGAAACGTTTATCACCAGTATTAGGCAAGACTTATTTTATTCCTTGTTTTGCGTACTTATTTTTTTAAAGATTATTGGAGTAGGGCAGAATAGAAAGAAAGATAAAAATTTGTTTTCTTATTTAGCAAATAGTTTTGCCAAAATCATCCAGATAGAGGAGAAAATAAAAATAAAATTTTATTGATGAATGTAAAATAGGATGGTTAAATGCTTCAAATTTATATAATTAAAAATAAATATACATATCTTTGGAGATTTAAAGGCAGGGGAGGGCGTAATAAAAATAAAGAAAAACTTTTTTTTCCTGAAAATTCTACTTTTTTGTGGCAACGGGTGAGCTAATTGGCCAAAAATAAAATTTTGTTTTTATTTGAAATCATCAATATTTGCAGTTGGCGGGTTCACTAAACAAGGTATAAAAAAAGTCTTGCCTTATCATTCTTGCCTTACCACTGTCATCATCACTATTATTAACATCACGGTCATCACAATTTGCATCATCATCAACATCATCATCATTGCATTAGGGGTCCTTCACAATTATCAACATTTTCACAAGCGTATAAAACGTACGTTAGGGTGGAAGGGGGGGGGGTAACATTGCATTAGGGGTCCTTCACAATTATCAACATTTTCACAAGCGTATAAAACGTACGTTAGGGTGGAAGGGGGGGGGGGTAAACCCTGGCGTACGCTTTTTAAAAAGTAATAAAATATCGGTCAAAAATCGTCACAACCACGAAAAAATGCTGAAATACACACATAATCCTATAAACCTAGGCTACCGGCGAAAGTTTGATGAACTTCAGTTCCGTGCAGTAGCGAGAATATGCATTGATCTGGTGTATAAAGCTCTGTTTACGTTACGATGTATTCGCGATTGAATGTGTGTTGATGATAGTTGCTTGGCCATGTGGTGAGACTGCTAAATCATGACACCGCAATCGTTTTTGAAAAAGCAAAATTAAATGGAAAAAGTAGAGAGGAAGAAGCCGCCGAAGACAATGCCTAATTGTTTCTGTAAGGTTGGTTTAATTGCTTCACTTCTATTCACGTGGAAGTTGAACCAAAAGGTGCTCCTGCTACAGCTTTGGCTATTAGTAGTGGCGATGTACACTTCTTCATACGGATTAGACAACAATAACGCAGAACTGAACTCACAACTCAGATTGTTTTATTTGTCCAAAATTATAACAAACAAATATTGTGTACACATATTGTAATTAAATTATAATACATTGATGGTTGGGAGACTCTCAGTAAGGGTAAAGTAAGCTGCTACCATGAGAGCCACTGTAGAGATAAATAAATGTATTGTTTTACACATAGTACAATTTAATGTGTCTTGTATTGAATTTATTTATTTATTGAACTGCCTGTTCCGAATACTGTATTATTAGACACAAAAAAAAAATCAACATTTTTCTTGTACACTTTCGAGGGGGAGGGAGGGGGTCATGAAAACAAAACAACATTTTCATCATCATGATCATCATGGTAGAAGTGGTTGGTGCATAGGTTGTGGCTTGGACTCAAAATTTTATGGGGTCAGGGCTTCGAAACTTGAGTCCATGGGCAAGGCACTTTATCAACGTTTTGTTTGTCTCTACCCAGGAGTAAAAATGGGTACCTTGTAGGATGTTGTGGCATTGAATGTACTAAGTACATGCGCACGACTAGGTATACTCCCCGGGGAGTAGAGAAGGTTGCACTTTGTGCTTATTTGCTGTTACATATTATCCAATGACCAGGGGACTTTGTGCTCATTTGCTGCTACATATTATCCAATGACCAGGCGTAATAACACTTAACGCTCAACATTGATTTGGAATTAGTCCTATTATACATTTTTTGCATTATTATCATTATTGTTATTATTATTATCATCATCATCATTATTAATGTTGTCATTAGCATCATTATAAAATAAAAATAAAATATCTATCATTCAAAATAACAATTAGTGACCATTCTTACAAAATAGAATATTACATATTCAACATTAAAACCTTAATGATTTATCAAAAATGTATGCAAAAAGGTATGCATGTACTGTATACTTTTATTGCTAATATTTGCATGAATATTTAAAAATTGAGCTAAAAAGAAAAAAAATAGATTTTTGCTTGACATGTTGATTCTTTTTTGTAGAACAATATGTTAATGAAGAGGGAAACTGTGATGACTGTCTAAGTGGTTGCAAGACATGTGTAACCAGTAACTCTTGTATTGAATGCCTTGATCACTGGTAACTCTAATTGTTTGTTTTTGATTGCTTAATAAATACATTTCAGAAAGACATCACAAAATGCAATTCTTTATAAATTATAAACTCTACATCTTTTGGTTGGTTTTAATTGTAACAGGGTTCTGATTAATGGACGTTGTCAGGATGGATGTCCGCTTAACATGTATGAGTTGGACTATGTATGTTACAGTTGCCATAGCACCTGTAGTCAGTGCACAGGAGGAGATCCACACGATTGCATTAAATGCAAAACAGGTAAAAAAACATCATTCCTGATGATGACATAATTAAGGTTGAAATATTGAATCCCGACACGATGGCGTGCATTTCAATACTTGGAGTATGTATCATACTGTCTTAGATAAAAGTAATTTTCACATATATTGTGATAATAAATATCGTATATCCTAATCGGAATTTGAAACCAAGACTAGGATACTCTACCAACTAAACTCAGAGGCCAAGTAGTATACAACCTTGGATTCTCTCATTAGGACATGTTTTTTTCTGAAGGTATTGCATAATATATAATGAATAATAATAAACTATGATGTGATTTACATATATTGCATTGATTTTTTTCTCATCCAGTGGGGCAAATGAGAAACAACATGTTGAATTTTATATACATACATACACATATATATATATATATATATAGTTGTATCCGATGTAGTAGGTTCCACGTATGTCTCATACGAATATATAAATAAAAGTAAATA